TTAAAATAATTAAAGTCAAGGGGCTGAGGGCATGGCTCAAGTGGTAGAGCATCACTCATGAGCAAAAGCATGAGGCCCTGAGTTCAAGCCCCAATACCAACACAAAATAAATAAATAATAAAATGTTTTTATTTATTTATATGTCAGTCATGGGGCTTGAACTCTGGGCCAGGGCACTATCCCTCAGCTCTTCAGCTCAAGGCAAGCGCTCCACCACTTGAGCCACAGCCCCACTTCTGGTTTTCTGGTGATTTATTGGATATAAAGAGTTTCACGAACTTTCTTGCCAGGGCTGGATTTGAACTGTGATTCTCAGATCTCAGCCTCCTGAGTAGCTAGGATTACAGGCGTGAGCCACTGGCGCCTGGCTTAAATAATAAATCTTTAAAAAGAAAAAGAGTGGTAGAGTGCTGACCTAGCTTGCATGAAGCCCTAAGTTTGATTCCTCAGTACCACATACACAGAAAAAGATTCAAGTGCCATTATGGTTCAAGTGGTAGAGTGCTAGTCTTGAGCAAAAGCAGCTCTGGGGCAGTTCACAAGCCCCGAGTTCAAGCCCTAGGATTGGCAAAAAGAAAAAAGGAAAAGAGCAAAGCTTGAATTCCAACCCCCTTGCCACCAAAAAATAATAAATGAAAATAAACAAGTACATAAAAATATACACAGAAACATATTTAATCATTAAAAGTCAAGACAACTGAAGGCAATCTGTGACATTTAAACATGTATAATGACTTTGAAATAACTTATGAAGAAAATAATAAATATTACCCATATTTAAAACAGAACCACTGTCACGAACATGTCAAAATCTACGGCAGTAATTAGTAAAGTCTTCCAGCATGTGTGATAAAGGCCCAAGGGCTTCTTGGAGGGACTAGAAAACAGGCAGAACCCCAGTTCTGACGTGCACCCCACCTGGCTGGGCACCAGAGCTCTGTCCCAGGGGAGGAGAGGCTGGGAGAGCCTCCCCACGACACTGCTGCGCTGGCCTCCCGACTTCCAGGAATGAGGGCCAGCAGACATTCCAGAGGACACAGCCCTGGGGGCGGCAGAGGCCTTTGGCAAGTGAGGAGAGTGGAGGCAGATGCTGGAGGACTTTTACTTTGCACCGTCCTCTTTCTTGCAGTTTCCTGTGCAACACAGAATCAACTGAGCAAAATGACAGCATACATGTGTATATAAAATAGCAGTCATGAATAATACAAGCATACATGTATACATAAAATAGTAATGAGTGAAACAACGTGAAAAGAATGGTGTCTCAGCTGGGTGCTGGTGGCTCACGCCTGTCATCCCAGCTGTTTAGAAGGCTGAGATCTGAGGATTGTGGTTCAGAGCCAGCCCTGGAAGGAAAGTCCATGAGCGCTTAACTCCAATTAACCACCAGAAAACCAGAAGTGGTGCTGTGGCTCAAGTGGTAGAGCACTTACTTGCCTTGAGCCGAAGAGCTGAGGGACAGCATCTAGGCCCAGAGTTCAAGCCCCATGACTGACAAAAAAAAAAGAACGGTATCTTAAAACTAAAGGCTACTTTGGTTTAAAAGAAGCACAAATACAAGAAACTAAAAAATAATATCTACAAGGAAAACTAGAATTGAAAATGGATTCTCTCAAACAATTCTGTAGCTGTAACTTTGGTGGTGTCCCAAGAGTACGAGGAGACCTCATCCAAGAGAGAACCTGAGAGCCACCAAGATACAGCCAAAGAAGCGAGCCTCAGAGAAAAGCGTCAAATGGAAGGCTTGTGAGGAAAAGCTTCTGGGCTCTGGGCAGGACATGAGGCTGGGAATGAGCAGCTATCCAGGAAGAGGTTCTGGAGAAAACAAGTACAATTGTGAGGCAAAAAGAGAGCCCCACTTATCTGATGGAGTGGCTTCTCTATTGCACAGACTGTCTTCTCTTGGAGGTGGCATTCAGCAATCAGTTCTGCCCTGGGCGGGGGCGGGGGGGAGGGGGGAGGGGGGGCTGGGGGATCAGAGCAGACTCAGCTCTGACTACCTCAGGACCATGGAGAACAGAGTGACAAGGATATCCAGATGAACGACAAGCCCTTCTAAGGTGAAAGGGGGACACACTTACTCTCTTTCCCCTGGCAGAGAAAGGAAGGTGGAAGAAAGTCACAGAAGTAGGAACAGGCGCATTTTGCCAGGGTGGTGAGCGTCAGTCAGGGACGGTGTACACCCCAGGAGGGCCACATGCCTTCGACGGGAAACGAAAGCTTTGGTGGACGGGGACAGGCACCTGTGCCCAGGTCCAGGCCTGATAAAACTGCTGCTTGTTAACAATGTGGAGTCTGGCTGCAGGCAGGGACAAGCTCAGGGAATAGCCAAGCACAGGGCCGCTCCCACGTCAGGTCTGACAGAGCCACCATCAGAGACAGCCAAGTAGAAAATATAAAGAAGACCCAAGGCCCCAGCCACACAGAGCCAGGATGGGATACACTCCACTAGAGACGGTCCAGCACAAGGGTGCCCTGAGCCTCCAGGGTCACAGCAGGGGACCACACCAGGGCCCTGCCATACCCCCTGGCACATGACCAGACAGTGACAGAAGCAGAAAACAAGTGCAATACTTAGGAGAAATGGAAAGGACAATTTTACACAAAAAGAAACAGGGAAACATTTCAACTCATTTTAGAAGTCCTTAAGGACATCACAAGATAAACCGACCACCAGAAGTTATCTTTCATAAGGGTACAATCCTTACCAAATTTAGACAAACCAATGTGGCAACATGTCAAAGGATGTATACAAAAAGATGTGTGCAAAAACGTTCACAGCTGCTTTTTTGTGAACAGGCCTAGCCAGGTGCTGGGGCGTATGGCTTAAGTGGTAGAGGCCCTACCTAGCATGTGCAACACATGGGGTTCAACCCCCAGTACCACCGAAAATAAGAAAATACAATGACGAAACCAGATCAAACACTCCAACAGCGCCAAGGACTGTTCATTAACGGGGAGACAAGTGAACCAGCAGAGCGGCGACACACTGCAGCACCATGTGACAGGTGACAGAGGTTCATGTGATGCTCTCAATAAGAGCAGAACTATAGAGGAAAAAGACAAATATGAAGCCAGGCAAGGTGGTCCATGCCTTATAATCCTTGGACTTGGGAAATTGAAGTCTACCTGGTCTATAGAATGAAATCTTGTCTTATAGAAACGGTCACATTCAAAACCACACACACACACACACAGGTGCCATTAGTGAAAAGACTTATGAACTAAGAATGCTATGTTGGTGGCTCTAACCTGCAATCCTAGCTACTCAAGAGGCTGAGATTTGAGGATCAAGGTTCTAAGCCAGCCTAGGCAGAATAGGCTATGAGACTTATCTCTGTGAGATGCTTATCTCCAGTTAACTAGCAAAAAGCCAGAAGTGGACATGAGGCTCAAGCGGCAGAGCACCAGCCTTCAGTGAAAAGGCTCAGGGACAGGACCCTGGCCTAAATTCAAACCCTAGTACGTACATGTGTACACACACACACACGCGCACGTGCGCGTGTGCAAATGCACGCATGCACATATACACGCATGCACGCACACATGCATGCACACACACATGCACGCACACACACATGCACGCACACACGCATGCTGATAAGTGAAATAGAAAAAAAACCACAAGTAATACTAAACAGCTTTCAATTAAATAGTAAAGACAAAACCAAATACTTCTGTGTACACAGAAAGTTATGTGAAAAATGGTAAAAAATAGAAGTGGAAAACAAGGATTATGAGTTCAATGCCAATCTGGACTATGTAACAAGATCTGTCTCAAAAAACAAAGAGAGAAAGGACAGGTAGGATTAGGGAGAAGGACAGAAGTGACTCTCATCACCAAGTATCCGACACGTAAAATGGAAATGTTACAGCTGTAACCTCCTTGCACAACCTTTTGAAATAAAGAAAACACATATATGCACGTATACATATAAGCTAAGGGTAATAAAGAGTCAGATTATGTTCTCTTTAAAATTTCTAATGAGGAAGTTACATATTGTTCATTTCTTTGACCAGTCATTACTCATTAAATATTTTAGGCACAATTTATGTCAGGCCAGATATAGTTCTTTTCTTGGTTAAAATAAATACATAAATAAATGAAAATAACTGCCTTCATAGGGTTTAGATTCCAGCAAAGAAGGAATACAAAATAAGTAAGCAAATGTAATATGTTAGAAATAGGTTTAAGGAAGAGCAATGGAGATCTGAGGGAAGGGGGTGGTCAAGATTGAAGTTGATTTCTAGTCTGACTGATAAACACGAAGGCCCCAGGGTTAGCTACAAAACTGGCACTGAGTGTCCAAATGCTGCTTTCCAGGGGCCACTGGCTGAAGAAGGCAAGGGCTGGGATGTAGGCAGCTACCGCCACAGCAGCCAAACATGCCATCAACTGCCCCTGGGATTGCCCCAAGAAGGAAGGGCAGAGACTGCCTCTTGTCACCGGCTGCATGCAGTGATGGGTCAGAAGAAGGAAAACAGCTGCTTGCAACCAAGAATCAAGGGGGAGAGAAGACCCTAGAATGTGGGTATTCAAACGGCTGCAAAAGCCAACTCCCAACACACAGCTCTGAAAGGCCTTTTTGGGAGCCAGTGTCCACCATTACTCAGCCTGCGTCAAGCATCAGATCAAAGGGGCTTCCATTAAAGCATAGCAGGGAATCTCGAAGGGGGAGGACAGACCTGAGACCTGCATCTGGGAAAGGACTCAGGCAGTTACCAGCCCACAGAATTGTGTAGAACGAAACACACAAAAGCCTTTAAGCTTTTCAGGAAACTGCATCACCAGGAAAATCCCGAGTCTAGACTAAAAAGCCAAAAAGCACCTTGAAGGTCACCGTTGGGCCAAGGCAGGGAGGGGCATCCCAGAGGATGGACGTGGGTAAGCAGACAGTGCAGGGTGGAGCGCCCTGGCGGGGGATGCAAGCTGCCAGTTAGCCTGCAGCCCACAAAGGAGGCGCCATTTCATTAGCCTGCCCCCGCTGGCAGCCACTCACCGGCTGGTCAAGGCTGCCGTGCCTTTCCTCCTCCTCCACGGTCCTCCGGCAGTCTGGGCACACCCACAGCGGCAGGTGCAGCACGCTGTCCCCCTTGGGAGCCATAGACAGGGCCAATTTGCTCGCAGTCTTAACGCCACTCTCTAATAATGAAGAGTCTTTCCGTTCACTTCTGCATAGAAGACAATAATCCCCAGCGGGGTAGGGTGGTGTCCTATGATTCATGCCAAAACTAAAAGGAGTCTGGAATAGAAAAAAAAAATTCTATTTTCAAAACCTGATCCACAGAACCAAGATTGTTAAAAGATCTATACAGTTCTAAAATAAAATGCACATGTATGTTTATATAGTAAAGCATAAAACAGGAAACTTGTTGAATAAAACTGTGCTCAGTGTTGTAAAACAGTAACTCCATACAGAAAACCTTAGCAAATTGCCTCTTGATTCTTCACCTGTACTGCTGTGTCCATCCTCCCAGAGGAAACTGCTAGCCTGACTTTCAGACCAGAAGATGGCTTGGGGGGCGACCTCCCGGGGTCTGCTGTGCTGTGAAGCTACCATGCGGAGGATGTGGGCTGGGCTGGCATAAGAGCACCACCGAGGACTGCTCCTGAGCATTCCACTGGGCACTTCCTTCCAGGGTAACTTATCATTGGCTACCTGGTTCCATGACTGCTTTTTCAAGCAGTTCCCTACTGTGGGGTGAAGCCTGAGGAAGACACAAGGTTACCAACTCTGTATTCTCTCCCGCCTTAGAAACACAGGAAAAGAAGCTCAAGTTCAGGGGTTTGAAACACCTGAAGTCCCCATCAGATAAGGCCAGGTCCTGCAGGTCCTGGAAGCATCTGGGGACCCAGGGCAGTGGGTTGCAGGACCAGCACTGCTCTGGCCCTGCTTGGAGCCTTGGCATAGGGGGAGAGGGACACACAGAAAAATACCCCAAGGTCTCTCCTGCCACTGCAGTGTCCCTGATGCAGACAAAATGGTGGAGGGGGGAACAGGGCCTAGGCTGCTGCTTCAAGACTACTGCGACCTTTCTCAAAGTCTCCATCTCTGTCCAGAGGCCTCTCTGGTGGTGCCCTGTCCTGCAGCTCCACAGCAGCTGGCTCTTCAGGGAGAACCCTGTGCTATGAGGGACACTCAGGCAGACCAGGGATGACAAGGCCTCACTGGCATGCACGTTCCCTGCATCTTTCTGTGCAGGTGCCAGGGCTTGAATTCAGAGGTCTCTCCCTCAGCTTGCCTGCTCACACCTCGAGTGCACATATAGGTTACATGTTTTCATAAATCAACGGTCTAAAGTGCACGCCACAGTCACCTCTACAAGGTTCTGTGGGTGAACCACACAGCTCAGCAGCTACCTGCATACCTAGAGAGCAAGGACAAAGAACTGGGTATCATCTTCTGCAGCATTCCGCCAGGCTGTAGACCTTATAACCCTCACCACAGAGTCTAGGACAGCAGTGTCTTATGTGCCTACAGATCTCAGCAATCTACTTTATAATCCCAAACTCACATTGATTTAGCCCTGATAAAGCCATCTCTTCCTACTGTAGACTCTGTCTTACAACACTAGACTTCCCAGGTGCTCACCACAGAAGACTCTGGGCCCCACAGCTGCCGAGGTCCAGGATGGACATTTTAGTGTGGCAGTCACACTGACCCTACACCTACTCTCACCATTCACCTAGAGCGTGCAACGATCCCCAATCAAAAACGCTAGGACTAGAAATATTTCAGAGTTTTTCAGATTTTGGAATAACAAAATATATGATATCTTACAGATGGGACCCATTATTTATGGTTATGAAAAAAATTGCTTCCCGTACACAGAGACAATGCTATACAGAACTTTTCAATGCATCAGTGTTGTAACAACCATCATGAGACCAGGTATGGACATTTCCTCTAGCAGTGTCACGTCAGTACTGGAAAAGTTTTGAAGACAGGAATCAGTGGCTGACACCTGTAAACCTAGCTGCCCAGGAGGCTGAGATCTGAAGATCACAGTTTGAAGCCAGCCTGGGCAGCAAAGTCCATGAGACTTGTCTTAGTGAGCGTGTATAAGGTCTTGGATTCACTCTCAAGCAATAGGAAAAAAATGTGTATTTATAGGCTTACAATTAATTAGTGCATTTATTTATTCGAGCTTGTTCTGTTTCCCATAAGAAGTCTGCTGTTTGCTCTTTGTTCCCTCATATATAATGTTCCTCTTTCTTCTGACTACATTTAAGTTTTCTAAACCACTATTTTCAGCAATATAATTATGATGTGTTACAGTACAGTTTTCTTTCTTCCTGGCTCCTGTTCTTGAGGCTTATGAGCTTCCTAGATTTATGAGTCTATAGCTTTCATCAAACTAGAATCTTTTTTAGCTATTACTTTCAAATATTTTTTTATCCCACCTATAGCCACATAATATACTTTTCTTTTTTTTGGGTCCAGTCGTGGGGCCTGAACTCTGGGCCTGGGCGCTGTCCCTCAGCTCTTCAGCTCAAGGCTAGCGCTCTACCACTTGAGCCTCAGTGCTACTTCTGGCTTTTTTCTTTTTGCTTATGTGGTGCTGAGGAATCGAACCCAGGGTCTCATGCATGCAAGGCAAGCGCTCTACCACTGAGCCACCTTCCCAGCCCAACATGATATACTTCTAAGGACTGTTTACAAAGCACTGTTTTGACAGTATATAGAAAAGGTTTTTAATAAAATTCACTGTCTACTTATTAATGAAAGCATTTCTAATAAACAAGGATGCTATGGTCATTTCCTTAAGCTGATGAAGGCTTAATAACACAGAACACATGTAGTGATGGAGGTTTTCTCTTTGCTACTCAACACGACACTGGAAAGAGCCCAACCAGTGCAGCAAAGAAAAGACCTAATGATGTATTTTATTTTTTTTTTTGGGTCCGGTCGTGGGGCCTGAACTCTGGGCCTGGGCACTGTCCCTCAGCTCTTCAGCTCAAGGCTAGCGCTCTACCACTTGAGCCACAGTGTCACTTTCGGCTTTTTTCTTATGTGGTGCTGAGGAATCGAACCCAGGGCCTCAGGCATGCAAGGCAAGCACTCTACCACTGAGCCACCTTCCCAACCCCAAGACCTAATGATTTAAAAAGCAAAAAGCGAATGTTTTATTTGCAGATATGCTTACATATGTAGGAAACCCAAAAAATATAATTAGCAAGACTATGGACTTGGTTCATATGGCACAGCCTTTGTCTATCAGGCCTGGGCAGAGAAATAAATGAATGCTATAAATCATGTTGAGCGAGGTAAGCCACGAGCAAAGAGACAAACGGTACATGGTCTCCCTGATAAGTGGATGCTAAATCCAAAATGTTAGGTGGTATGACAAAATTAACAGGACTCAAGAAACAAAGAACTTCCACTCATCTGGTCAAACCACTATTAAATATCTGCATGCTGCTGATCACATGTATGGTGTATATGGGTACATCGTTATATGTGATAGACCATGATAGACAATTTGCTCCAGGAAAGTTAGAATGAACTTGTGACTTTAAATGAGCATCATTATTCCACAGTACTGTGAAATTTGGGAAATTATGTAATCACTTAATCACAATTAAAAAAAAAAAGAACCTCGGGGAAGGTAGGTAGGGAATGGATGGTAGGGGGAAAACAATGGAGGGGGTAACAATGCTCATGTAACTGTAACCCTCTGTATAGTATCTTTACAATAAAAAACTTAAATAAATAAATAAATAAAAAGGCTAATGAATGCAAAAGTTGAAAAAACACCAACTGTATTCCCATATACTAACAACTGAGGGAGGGAAGCTGGGACAGAAGGGCACAGGGAAGAGGGGGAGGGGCAGAAGAGGAGGAAAAGGAGGAAGAAGCTGAGGTGGTGTCAGCCAGGCACTGATGACTGTGGTCTGAAGCCAGCCCTGGCAGGAAAGTCTGTGAGAGGCCTATCTCCAACTAACTAGCAAAAAGTTGGAAATGGAGCTGTGGCTCAAGTGGTACAGACCTGGCCTTGAACAAAAAAGTTCTTAAGCCCTGAGCTCAAGCCCCAAGTATCAGCACCAAAAAAAAAAAAAAGGGGGGGGTGGTGGTGGTGGTTCAGAAGTAGGTAGAGATGACTCAAGTGGTAGAGTACCTACTTATCAAATGTGAGATCCTGAGTTTAAACCCAAGTACCGTTAAACTCCAATACCAAGAAAATTACTCAATGACCAGACGAGATAAAAAAAATGAAAAGAAATATAACTCAATTGAAAGAATATGGGTGAAGAACTTTCCAGAAAAGATATCCAAATGATCAGCAGACATACAAGAAGGCAATTTCACATGTATTCAGAGAAAATGAAGTTAAGACAAAAATCTACTAAGGTAAACTATAAAACAATGCATTTTTATGTACTATAGGTTAATAATATAACCACTTTGGGAAACAGCATTTTATTAAGACTGTAAAAACACATACACTATATAAAGTCCAATAATTCATCCTATATTTATTTTCCTACCTCATATTAAATCTTATATGCTCCAAAATATATGTCAAAGCACATTCACATCAGCTCCAAACTGGAAATAATTAAATCTTGTATGCTCCAAAATATATGTGAAAGAATATTCACATCAGCCTTAGATTGGAAATAATCCAATTTTCTATCAACTTAAGAACTGTATATTCACTACTCAGCAATTAGACAAACGGTTGCTACATTCAAAACAAACCTTAAAAATACTGTTGAAGCAAATGCTGGCAGGGATGTGGGGGAAAAGGAACCTGCTTCACTGCTGGTGGGAATGTGCACGGGTACAACCACTCTGGAAAGCAGTCTGGAGGGTCCTCAAACACTAAACACAGACCTTCCCTACGACCCAGCCATACCACTCCTGGGCATCTACCCTGAGCATCATCAACAGGACACCTGCACCTCCATGATCACTGCTGCTCTCTTCCCAATAGCCAAGATATGGAAACACCCCAGATGCCCCACAGTAGATCAGTGGATCCCAAAAATGTACCTATATACAATGGAATTTTACACAGCCATTACAAAGAACAAAACGGTATCATCTGCAAGGACATGGAGGGAACTACAACAATCATGTTAAGTGAGATGAGCCAACATCAGAGACAAGCGGTGCACGCTCTCCCTGATGTGTGGAAGTTGGATTTAAAACTTAACGAATATGACAAATTACACAGAAGTCTAGATACTCACAGAGTGAGACCAAAAGAGGACAGTCTTAGGAGAAGATCATCAAGT